TTGGAGAATCGACTTTTCTGACAGTCTGCAGATAGTAGCCCACCATCCTGCGATGGATGATTGAAGCTGAGTTCCTGTGGGTTAACACGCACTTGAGGCTTCTCATTCCGAATTGTAATGGAAACCTCCTTCCATAACTTGGTGAACTAGAAATTTAGTTAGAGCTTACTCACCCAGCCTTCAGGAAGGCAGAAGGAGGGGGCGAGAATGAGTATAGGTGGGTGCCCGCTGGGATTTCGGGACCCACACCCAAGAACATCAGAAGCCACAGAAAGGCCCCATTTTTCGGATTAGGTTGATTGTCAGAACATCATTAGAGAACAGTGCTCCCCATGGAGAAATTTACCTGTGTTTGTTCATTTATGGATCCCAAAGTAATTGTTGAGTGGCTACTATGTGCCAGGCGCCTGCTAGGCCTTTGTGCAAGATTGGCTCTGCTGTTTGGGGGCTTCCCTTTGAGTTACCCACTCACTGCCATCGAGTTGGATCCCACTCATAGTGACCCCTCCTTGAGTTTCTGAGGTGGTATCACTGTGGAAGTAGATTGCCCAACCTTCCTTCTGAGGAAGTGCTGGTGGGTTTGAACCACCAGTCTTCTGGTTATAAGTCAAGTGCCTTAGGCACTACATCACCAGAGCTCCTTACACACTATATAATTCCAATTATAGAAGAATTCTAGAAAATGCAAACTAATCTATAGAGACAGAGAGCAGACTGGTGTTACCTAGAGATAGGAGAAGGAGGCAGGAAAGGGAGGGATTGCACAAGGATACGAGGAAAGTTTTGGGGGGTGATGGACATGTTCATTATCTGATTGTAGTGATGGTTTCATGAGTGGATACACATATTCAGACTTACTAAAATATATACTTAAAAAATGTACAGTATGAGGTGTGTGTTAACATTCCTCAATAAAGCTGCAAAAGAAAGTTTTTTGTAAGAGGAATAGATAATTGGAGCTGAAAATTTACATTAGGTAGATACACTCCTAATCATGGGAGAATAGAAGGTAGAAGGTCTGTGTATGCTCAGGGAGACAGCTCAGGGGTAGCAGTGCATGGGAGGGAAGGACACAGGGAAGAGGTAACTATGGGGAGGAAGTGAGAAGGGAGCTGTTGCAATGTGGGAAATTGCAATCAATGTCATGAGACGAAGTGTATGTGAGCTGTATGGAAAGTGAATTTGCTCTGTAAACTTTCACCCAAATCAGAATAAAAATTTAAAAAGAAAAAAAGAAACAGACAATTGGAGCTATAGCAGGGAGGTGTGATTTTATTCGATGAGCAGAGAAGTGATGAATACCTGCGTGAGATAGGACAGGAAAGCTAGACAAGTACCCTTTTGTGAAGGTTACTGTATGTCATGCTGTGGTAGTTAAGGTCATGTGTCAACTTGGCTGGGCCTCGTTTTGAGTGGCTGGGCAGCTGGATGTAGTTAACTCCCCATTCTGAGATCAGCAGTCAACTCCATGGTGGAATCTACCGGAGCAGCTGAATGGCTGCCTTAGGAATGTGGTCTGCTTCCAGTATATAAGAAGAATCGTTGAGAAAGATCTCTGCCACTTTTTGGTACTCTTGGACCCGGCATGTAGCTGGGTCTTCACTCAGCAACCTGCCATATTTCCCGCCAATCTTAGTTCTATCTCTGGACTTGAACTAGTGTCCTGCCATGTTGTTTGGTAGTCTTGGGACTGTGCCATTTTATTTGTTGACCTTGGGTTTGTCAGTCTCAGCAGCCAGCAGCTGTCTGAGTTAAGAGAATCTTCCAGCCTCAGTGGGCCAGAAGCAAAAGGCAGAGCTGAAGCCCAAGGTCAAGGGGCTTTCACCTAGCCCCTAGAACTGGTACTTTTTTTTTTTTTAGGATTTGGGTGAAGATTTACAGAGTAAATTCACTTTTCGTACAGCAGTTCACATATACTTTGTCTCATGTCATTGACCAAAATTTACAATGCAGCAGCTCCCCTCCCACTTCCTCCCCATAGTTACCTCCTCCCAGTGTCCATCCCTTCATACTCTTCTGCACCCTGAGCTATCTCCCTGTGCATAAGCAGCCCTTCCTTCTCCCATGATTTTTCTCTCCAGGGCGTGTGTCTACTTGAGGTAAATGTTTAACTCACATGCCTGTACTTTGTTTGGCTGGAAACCACAGTTGTGGGTTCAATTCCAGACCTGAAGGGAAACTAGGGGCCATAGTCTCAGTGGTTCCACCACGCTCTATTGGACCAGCAAACCTGGTCCCCACCTTCTTTTTTTTTTTGCCTCCAAACGATTTTGAGTTTTGTACCACATTGTTCTCCCTCTTTGTGTAGGATCTCCTACATCCCTTCCAAGTGGATGGCAGTGGTAGCTGGGCACCATCTAGTTCTTCTGATCTCATAGTTGTATAGGTTGCAGATCGGATGGTGTACCAGTCACTAGGACTGGTTGTTTCCATTAATTTTGGTTTTCTTCTTTCTTCTTGACGAGGAGAGACCTGTTGTTGCATCTAGATGGCAGCTTCCTAGCTTTTAAGGTCCCAGTTGCTACTCGCCAAAGTAGTAGGTGGAACAATGTTTTGTATAGTATGTTATGCCAATTGAGCTTGATGTCCCCTGAGACTATGGTCCCAAGCCCGCAGGATCAACTACTCGGTCCCTCTGGGTAGCTGGCTGTGACCAAGTAATGACCATAACCTTGCCCCTTGTCAGCTCTACTATACACCTAGGAATTCTGATCATTCACATGAACTTATAGGCCCATTGTCTGCCAACCCTATATATCATCTTGGATACACTCTCCATTTAGACATACCTAATTGTTTAGCTTGTAGAACTGGTACTTTTTTTTAAAATACATTTTATTGAAATATAATTTATGTACAATGAAGTACACAAAACTAAAGTGACATGGGTCAATGTTTTTGTTTTTTCTTTTTGCAGTGTTCCCTCCCCTCCCCTCCCACCCCTGGCAACCAATAAAGAAAGTTTCCCTCCATATATAAACCTTTTCCTTGACCCTCCATAACAATGAACTAATATTATATTTGTCCTTCTGTGATTGACTTACTTCACTCAGCATAATGTCTTCCAAGTTCATCCATGTTATGCAGAGTTTTGCAGATTCTACGTTATTCTTTAGTGCTGCATAGCATTCCAGTATGTGTATGTACCATAGTTTGATCATCCACTCTTCTGCTGATGGGCATGTAGGTTGTTCCCATCTTTTTTGCTATTATAAATAGTGCTGCAATGAACATGAGTGTGCATGTATCTGTTCCTGTCCTGGCTCTCACCTCTCTAGGATATATACCTAGTAATGGCATTGCTGGGTCAAATGTTATATCCAATTCCATCTTTCTAAGGAATCACCATATTGCTTTCCACAGTGGTTGTATCACATCACAGTTCCACCAGGAATGTATAAGAGTCCCAATCTCTCCATATCCCTGCCAGCATTTGTTATTTTCTGTCTTGTTAAACCTTACCGTCAGTGCTGGGATGAGACAATATCTCATTGTTTTGATTTGCAGCTCTCTGATGGCCAATGATTGTAAGCATCTCTTCATGTATTAGCTGGCCACCTGAGAGCTGACCTCAGACTTCCACCCTCCTAAACTGTGAGGGATAGGAGCTCTGGTAGCATAGTGCCTAAGGCACTTGACTGCTAACCAGAAGGCTGGCGGTTCAAACCCACTAGCCACTCCTCGGAAGGAAGGTTG